TATACCACTCACACCATTACTGTAATCAAATATACCACTCACACCATTACTGTAATCAAATATACCACTCACACCATTACTGTAATCAAAGATACCACTCACACCATTACTGTAATCAAATATACCACTCACACCATTACTGTAATCAAATATACCACTCACACCATTACTGTAATCAAATATACCACTCACACCATTACTGTAATCAAGGATAACTGACAACACTTCACACATACACTAATATAAACATAACACTTCACACATACACTAATATAAACATAACACTTCACACATACACTAATACACACATCACACTTCTTGTCTACACAAACCGACAACACTTCACACATACACTAATATAAACATAACACTTCACACATACACTAATATAAACATAACACTTCACACATACACTAATGTAAACATAACACTTCTCGTCTACAACTGACAACACTTTACATATACACTAATATAAACATAACACTTCTTATCTACACAAACCGACAACACTTCACACATCCACTAATACACACATAATGCTTCTTGTCTACACAAATTGACAACACTTCACACATACACTATTATAAACATAACACTTCACAGATACACTAATATAAACATAACACTTCACACATACACTAATGTAAACATAACACTTCTCGTCTACAACTGACAACACTTTACATATACACTAATACACACTTAACACTTCCCCTTTACACTAAAACAACACTTCCTGTTCATACAAAATGACATTAAATATTCTTGAAGTTTTATTGTTACTTAACTGAATTAATTTTTATATTTAGGAATTAAATCACAACAGGAAATAGCTTTTGAACTCATACAGACTTGAATTAAATAAGCAATTCTTCAGGATCCTGATAAAAATTCTATCACGGCCAGATTAAGGTTTAGTGGGGCACAAGTAATATTTGGGAACAAGAAGAAAAAACAAAACAAAAAAACCTCACTCTTGTCTCTATTCTGGTAGTTTTACAAACCATAATTTTTTAATTTGGTGGCCAGTGGGGCCCCCGTATGGCCGGGGCTCTAGGCCAAGGTGGCCTATGCATTAATCAAGTGCTATTTGTGATATGTGGTTGGCTCACAATTACAATGATTGGAACAGTGTTTGTCCACCTTTAATCTCAAGGTCTTTTCTCGGTATCTTTCGAGGCTATAATTATTTCTCTTGTATCAATCCCAGTACACAATCATGCTTCATTAAAATATAACAAAGACATAAGCAGACTTGACAGTAATACCATGATCCAAAATATACATAAGTATTTACTTCACAGAATATTTTGACCATTCTGTTTATAATCTTTGTTTTTGTTACAAAACTTTAAAGAAAAATAGTTTTACAATGCCAAACAAGATTTTGATAGTGTTTACTTTAGGGTACTACTACAATGTTATATATATATATTTATCATTTTTATTATATTGACCTTTCAGCCATGCATGGCTAACAAGACAGAAGTTACAATGATGCGGCACACGTGCTCTTATGTTACCGTATCCAATAATATGAAATTGACCTTTAGTCTGTACAAAGTAACTTGTCTTAGCTGTGTTTTAGTAAACTAGTATTTTGTAAAATACAGTCACATTTCAATTATTGTACATTACATATGTATATAGATTATTACTATTTACAAATAAGTTCTTAAACTTATTTTTCTTAAAACAGAGAACGGTAAATGAAGAAGTAAAGCAAACAATTATCTCTTCTAGTTATGACCTTTGTACTTGTTTGTTGCTTGTCTTAGGTTGCTAAGCCTTATAAAATTTTACACGTGGAGGATGTGAAATGAAATAATACTTTTCATATATACAGTCGAATAACCAAAAAAATCATAAATTACTAAATCAGTACCAAGGATTCCACTATAATTTATCAAGCTTAGTAACTAAGCTGTATTTGGGTCTAAAAAAAACATGAAATTTTGAGCAGACTAAAGAAACAATCTACCTCCTTGAAACCTTGGCTCGAAAGAACAAGATGGCATCCTAACACTGGAAAATGGCTGATAAAGCCACTAGGGGGGCATTCTGAGCTTTTAATTGGTTATTCACATGTCATATATTGAAGTAAGTATATATAAGACACCGTTTCCAAAAATGGAAAGAGGTGAGCGGGGCCATTGTGTTTGATTCAGTACATGAGTGATATCTCAGCAAATAGAAAAGATAGGAGGTTCTTATTTTATATTCTAGCTTGTCAATTTCGGTAATTTGAGTTCCTAATTCGTATGAAACTATAGACTTAGTATTTAGACATCACAAACATCTAATCTGAACCAGTGCTGCATTCAACATACCACGTAACACACAAAAATCGATGTTTCACTGTTGTTTTTTTTAATATTGACTTTTAAATTAAGAAATGAAATAAGGTATAATACTAAAACTTGAATTATAATCTACAGTTTGATACCAAACTTACTGACATAAGTTCATGAAATAGTAGTTCAATAAAATTTTGAATGCAAATCAACAAACGCGATGACATGGCCTTTGACCCGTGACCCATCTGGAGAGGGTTAAACAGAGAACTAACTTTAAAATTTCATAACTGTAAACTTCCCTCGTATGTTTTTTGTTTCTTTTCCTTCCCATTCCACTGAACAACAAAAAGAAATTATATGAGCTATTATCAGAGGCAAGTACTGATCACAGCACCTCAGCCAAAAAAAAAAATGCATGATTTAGATATATTTATCATTATTGACGAATAATACAATTCGCACAGCTAGATTAAAGTACCCAATCAGTTTGGTTTAATAACGATTGACATCAAAGCTGTTAAGTACTTCATCCTTATGATCTTGCTGTCAACAAGAAATAATATCATTAGGCCATTTACTGGTTCATTGGAAGAATATTTAATGACTGTTTCGATTCTATACGTCGTAAGGTCTCTGCTTTCTGACATTACAATGGAAGGCATGCGAGTTGGATGAAAAACAGATCAAATAAGCCCCAGTACTGCATACAGGTATTGAAATAAGACCTAATACGGAGTAAAAATATTGAAATAAGTCTCAGTACTGCATCCGGGCAGAATTTCACCCATGCTGATACTACCCTGTAATTAGTTGAGGAAGTCTTCAGCAAATGTCAAAAAATGTTGTGAGCCATCATAATCATGGTTATACCGTATAGATACAAGTTTTTACTACACAAAATCAGTTTTTTAAATGCAAATTCAGGAAATAAAAACTATTATTTATCAGCTCCAATTGAATCTGTATTTTCAATAACTGAACACAAAATTGAGCTGTGTAACACACAAAAATTCATCATTAAGTTTACCTGTATAATGTCCTGCTTGCATGTTTCCATGGTGATTACAAACTGCATATAACTCATACACATTTTCTTCAGGATAAGTGAAGTTCTGTGTCCTTGGACGTTTCCAGGGGGACCACGTCCACATTCCATTGGGATGACTGTTGATCAGGATGGGATTCCTTTGAGCAACATATGGAGCCATGTCTAGTCCCGAAACAGGAAATTCTACTAGGCTTTTTAACTTGGTACGTTGACTGGAGGACTGGAACAAAATTTTTACTTAAACTTAAAAAAAATGATTTAATTATGAGCTAAAGTTGAAATGGCATATCATAAAAGACTAATCTATACTATAGAATTAAACTTATGTTTGTCTGCTTATAAAAACATTTGCTAACTTCCAAAGATCTGATCATCATAATACTTTCAAGGGTTCTTGAGTATGCTACAGAGGAATCTTTTACACACCCCCCCCCCACTTCATTCATTTTCTCATCTTTACAGTTTCATAGCGATTCAAATTTTTCCTAGTTGCTACTGCTAGTGGTACGAGTCATCCTACTATACCTACTGAAACCAATAAATGGTGCAGGTACCTTTACTAGCAGTACGTAAACAACGTTATGGTGATTCTTTGAAGATTAAATTAACCATGTAACAGAAACGTTTTTTCTTACTATGAGTAGTGTAACTTGATCATACATCACCTCTAAAGAAATGAAGTAGCCATTTAACAGCAATATATATATATATATATGTAACTACTTTATTTTCCAAGGATAAAAGCTATTTCTTTATACTTGTATGCATAGCTTGGTAACTATTTTCTCTCTAATTCCACGATTCAGAGTTTCTGACATAAACGTAGTTTCAGTGAACTTAGTATGTTCACAAAGTCATCTCAAACATTATCTGACAAACATGTGTCTGTATATAACCAGTGAACTGCTGGATTAATTATCACCAAATCTGAAATGTACCCTTAGAGCCCCAAGGGAATAATACATGGGGATCACCAATTGGATGTAACTTGTTTCTGTGTCAACCCCTGAGGGCCTCTATGTCTCCCCCTGACCCAAAGATGCTAATTGTGGTTGTAGCCTCATCCTACCTAAAGATGTTAATTGTGGTTGTAGCCTCATCCTACCCAAAGATGTTAATTGTGGTTGTAGTCTCATCCTACCCAAAGATACTTATTGTGGTTGTAGCCTCATCCTACCCAAAGATGCTAATTGTGGTTGTAGCCTCATCCTGCCCAAAGATGTTAATTTTGGTTGTAGCCTCATCCTACTCAAAGATGTTAATTGTAGCTGTAGCCTAATCCTACCCAAAGATGCTAATTGTAGTTGTAGCCTCATCCTACCCAAAAATGTTAATTGTGGTTGTAGCCTCATCCTACCCAAAGATGTTAATTGTGGTTGTAGCCTCATCCTACCCAAAGATGTTAATCGTGGTTGTAGTCTCATCCTACACAAAGATGTTAATTGTGGCAGTAGCCTCATCCTACCCAAAGATGTTAATTGTGGTTGTAGCCTCATCCTACCCAAAGATGTTAATTGTGGTTGTAGCCTCATCCTACCCAAAAATACTTTTATTGGAGTATCCACAGCATGTTGTCAAGGCAACAGGAGACAAATCATGAATTTTCAGATTCCCAGTCTTGGTACACTAACCACAAACCCATGCCTCGCCAAAGACTTGGAAATCATGGTTTTTATCTGCTTGTTTTTCAACAATTAACTGATTGTGTTATTGTAGTTTCAATATAGTCTAGTTTTATACAATTCTACAAAGAGATTTTATTTTATATTTCTCTGTTCTTCAAGCTGATGGTGACAAGGATAATATTCAAATCCTTGTTACATATTCAGTCACTGCCCCGAGTTCTGCACTGTGTCTGTATAGGAGAGCTGATTATTTTTATTTTTTTAATTTTGGTTCTATTTTTCCTGAGAAATCTTGTCTCAGCAATGCAGGTTCTTTACTTGCTGGATCGTGAGGATTACGTAGCTCATTAACTTGCGTTTATAAGAGTTACGTTTATTGAACTGGATTGAGAAGCAGATTAGAAGGCAATGCAGGTTCTTTACTTGCTGGATCGTGAGGATTACGTAGCTCATTAACTTGCGTTTATAAGAGTTACATTTATTGAACTAGATTGAGAAGCAGATTAGAAGGCAATGCAGGTTCTTTACTTGCTGGATCGTGAGGATTATGTAGCTCAATAACTTGCGTTTATAAGAGTTACATTTATTGAACTGGATTGAGAAGCAGATTAGAAGGCAATGCAGGTTCTTTACTTGCTGGATCGTGAGGATTACGTAGCTCATTAACTTGCGTTTATAAGAGTTACGTTTATTGAACTGGATTGAGAAGCAGATTAGAAGGCTCAAGTTAGACTCGTGTCAACTATCTTACTGGTTAAGATATGTACAATGTTAATAATGATTATATTACCACTTGGGCAAATAAAATCAAACTTTGGTGGCAAAGTTTAAAAAGTCTGTCCTGATGCAGCTTTTGTTGTTTTAGGTGAATCAATGATAATAAGAAACTCTGCCATAACTTAGATTGAATCATTTCTACAGTTGCCTTACTTTCATGGATAACTAGGCTACCAAACGATGAAGACCGCATAATATTTCATACGTGTCTTGATGTTACGAAGATGTGTCAAACAATCTATCAATCATCATTCTGAATTTTATGAAATAAGGTCACAATCATTTAGTCATCAGTCCTGATGTTACACAATTGAGTCACAATCTTTCAGACATTAATCTTTATGTTACAAAATAAAGTTACGATCTTTTGGAGATCAGTCTTGATGTTACAAAGTAGGGTTACAATCTTTCGTACATCAGTCGTGATGTTACAAAGTAGGGTTACAATCCTCAGATGTCATTAAATATCCTAGAAATTCCATAAAGCTGTGATACATTTAAACACCAAGCATAACATTCATTATTCTTCTGAAGAAATAAATTCTAAATGAAGGTAACTATTAAAAGTTCTTTGATGCCCAAGATTTGATGTTTTAGTTTATACCAGCATTTTTTTTTATCCCATGTAAAAATAATGTAAACAACTTTTCATACACATAAAGAAAACTGATAATGGCAAGCAAGTCTTTAATGAAGATTAAGGGAGATACATGTGTTTTATAAACATCCTTTTTTTTCTAAAAGTATATGACAAAAGGCAAGTTCAATTTTTAATGAAACACAAGAGAGTTTGCTTGTAGTGAAACAAAAAAAACTACACAATGGGTTATCTGTGTTGTGCCCACCAGGGGTATTAAAACCCAGTTTTTAGCAGTAGAATCCTTCAGACTTATTGCCGAACTACTGGGGAGGCATTTAAGAGAGAGAGAGAAATGTTTTGTTGTTATACATAAAGATATACAATGGGTTATCTGTACTGTGCCCAATGCAAGTATTAAAACCAGACTGTTTAGCATTATAAGCCCTAAGACTTACCATTGAGCCACCAGGGGGCAGAGAGAGAGATGTTATACATTGAATACCATTTTTCAAAACTCAGTTGGAATGTTTAATGTTTAAAATGAATTCATTAGAGAAATATTCCTGCACAAGTATCTTTAATGTATTATTAGATACAAGACGATTTTATGATTGCAGCAAAATAAGTTATTTACAATGATAAAAAAATTATAAACCTATACTACTGAAAAAAAGATACAATATATATAATTATATGCTGCTAAGATGACAAGTTCCCTTTGTAAAGAAACATGAAGTGAATAAAAAAACATCATTGCTTTAAATGTATAATCTTAATGCTTAAATTTTTAAATCAAATAAACACCAGAAAGTACTGTTGTAACATTTTTAGTACAAAGTTACACAAGTAGCTATCTGCACTCTGTCCACTACAAGGAATATAACCCTGGATTTTAGCACTGGAAGTCCATAAACTTACCACTAACCCACTGAGAGACATTGTAAATGAATAAACATATAACACATAAACATACATGTTTCTTTGTATTGGTATACCTATTACTACTTCTAAATGTATGTCTTGTATTTTCTACTGTAGTATAGGCACCACTATAATATGCAATATTTTATAAAACACGAACAATGGGTCAAGATAATATAAAAAGGTAAGTCACAAATAATTACCTGTCTGAACCGTTTGAGATGAATAATAAAATAATCAGGACAGGACCACAGGCTGAGTTGTTTCACCCCTAGTTGATGTTGGCGGCACGAAGGACACATCCAAGCATTGTCCTCTCCAAGCTTATGAAAAAATATGACTTAATCATACAGAGAAATAAAATACGAGATTCTGAGTAAAATGAGCACACTAACAAATTAAAGCCAAACGTAGTGAGCTTCTGAAATATGTATCAAAAGTTTTAAACTTCTGTTTCAAATACACTGACCGTTAATTCTGGCTAACATATAAAAAGTCTCATGTTAGCTACGGGAACATGTAACGAGAATAAAAATTTTTAACAATAAATTTCTGACTTCTATTTATGTCATTCCCTATCAGCAAGGTCCACGTACTACATTATATTAAGTATATTTTTTTCTATCGTAACACTCAGCGTAAAGAAGTGATACGACACAGCAAACTGGGTGAAATCACTCTTTTTTTTTATACGTAAAATACATAGGAAACTCCAGCAGTAATTAATGATTTTAATTGATGATATTTTTTGTGTGAATCGTACATTATTAAGGATTCCTGTAACTGACACGTCATGGACCCATGTGCAATTTGGTGCATATAAATAAATTTGAAAGATATTATTCTAGGGAAAATTATATCATATATTAGTTACGTACGATATCTAATTAGTATTTAATAATAATAATACTAACAATAATTCCAAGCTAACAATTTTTTATGCCTAATTTCTCTTTTTTACTTTCACGTGTTTATATATCTTTAACCGTTGGTATACATTTGCAAATACTTCAAAGATTTTGAGTATAACAAAGTACAAACTGTATGACCGTATTACCAAAATGAAGCTTTTCTTTTAACTCCTTAAACTCGAGTCGATGCTACCAGCATCAAGCTGAAAATATTAATTTACCCATCGGACAGTGATTAGTGCCCTCGACTTTTATATTCTTGTTTCTGATACAAACATAACATTACGTTATAGTCACATATGCCTTTCAACTTGTCTATTGTTTTATACTAACCTTTTCTTCCACAAAATAATGTTGGAAACACTCATCTAGAGTTACTTTAGGCACCTGTTTTTGTTGGTTTCTTAGTTTCTGAACACTAGGATCTACTTCCATAAGGACTTCTACATCACTGATCATTCTGAAAAAGTACAGATTCAGGTAAGACAATAAAAATGTCTTAGTTTTCAAACTGTAAAATAAACAGTTTTAAACTGTCAAGCCAAGTCTTTAATTTTTGTCAGTAAGCAACAGTCTGGATTTTGTCCATAAACTAACAACTCAAGTTGAAAAGAAACAAAAGTTTTACATTGGGTTTAGAATGTTAAAGTTAACATTTCCTTACATTAAAAACGTATTTCTGATAGATACTTCCTCTCACACAAAGCTGTCTCGATCGTTGTCTGCCCTCTAAGCATTGCTAAAAACATTTTTGCCACCAGGGCATCGGTCTTTATACCCCATCAGTTTCGCACCATTTCTGAACATGTACAGATAATGTGACTACTCTCCACCAATAGTATTGTGTCACCGATACTGGCGCAACTAGCTCCCTCTGCTATTCCCACTCAATCCTCACTTTTGAGAATTGACAGGTATTAACATAAAAACACTGGGATGGGTAGGAAGGGGGAGGAAGTGTGTGACAGGAGGTAGGTACCTATTGGAAATAAATTTTCAGTGTAAGAAAATGTTAACTTCCAAAACAGTCTTACCTCCTCTCACACAAAAACAGAATCTCACATGGAAAAGGTGGAGGGGCTGGTTTAGGTGTACGAATATCAAATTAAGTGGAAAGCAACCGTTTAGAATGAATTGGTGTGCTATGAGATGAAAATGAAGCACACCAGTGGGGTACCGCACTACTTCTGGAACAGGTGTGCTTTTCACCCAGGAAACAGGAATATAACACAAAATGGGTGGAATGGAAAAATAGACAAAATTGAATGCGGTATTAATACTTACAGTACTGAACAAGCGTTGATAGGGCTGGATGTTCTGTTTCATACAGGATTGTGCTTGAAATTGTACTAGTGTGAGAAACGGAATAACAACATGTGATCTATACCTGAAGATATCAACTGATTAAGAAAATTGTCGAGAGTGGTCCTAACAGGCAAAAAAAACATCCAGGGGAAGTGCAAGTAGGAAGTTTGATGATAACAATTAATTAAGGTAGTTGTTCCACTGAGGTCCCCTGGGCAAAAACATCCAGGGGAAATGCATCTTAATTGATTAAGTTATTTTCTTGAGTGATGTCTGCCCAAGCAAAAATACATCCAGGGGAAACACCTTTTATAACTGACTAAGTTATTTTGTCAAGTGCGGTCCACCCGGGTAAAAACTTCAAGGGGATAGGCATGACTGGGGACAGGAAACAAAAGGGTTCCAGGAGGCAGGATGCATCTCCTTAAGAAGTGAACTGGACAAGGAAACCGATCAGGATCAGAATGGGAGGACAGTTGGGAAATGGGTGGGAAAGCCAAACCACCTAAAATGACAGCATAGGTCCTAGGAAGGAAGGACCGGTTGGGATAATGGATGACATAGGAGGAATGGTAAAGGATGCGGGTAACATTAAAGGCATAAATATCTGAATAAAGACACTGAAGTAAGTTCTACCCTGACGAAAATGAGGATGAGAGGGCACTTATCTAACAATGATGAAAGAAAAAAAATTCTTCAAATAGAACAATGAATTATATGTTACAAGTAGTAATGATATGTAAAGTACCAACTATCTAAACATACCTAGTGAACAAGGTACTTATAAATATAAAACAGATAAACCATCTAAATGTACCTAGCCCACAAAGAATGTAATAATAATGAACATGTAAACTTCACTACTTATTAGTAGTAATGACATGTAACTGACACAATCTAAACATACTTGGGTAAAGTACTTATTAATAACAAACTAACAAAACCATCAAAGTTGCCAAGTCTACAAAGTATGTAATATTAACGAACGTGCAAAACGATTGACTTTACTGAAAATGTAAAGTAATAATCGATACCTAACTTACAATTCATCTAAAGTAACTTAGGTGACAAATGACGCATAAATATTGAAATTACCAAAGTCCAAGCACTGACGATATGAAATATATAATACCCCCACGTGTAAATAAGTGCAAAGCCACACAAAGGGCATCTGAACCGCACCTACCATGGTTATATCAACGAGGTGTATATGTTGAAAACTTACCACAGATCCCCTGAGAAGAATAATAATTCTTAATTAAAGAACATGTCATGGCAGCATGGCAACAGGTGGAAGGTGCCGGAAGAATAGAATCCAAAGTGTCTACTCATTGTTTATATTCTTCCTCAGAAATATTGTCACATGAAATGAAGAAGAAATTGCCGGCTGAATATATGTAAGAATCCCTGGGAAGTCGTCACTTACGTTAATCGTAATTTCATACAATAATTTCTTGTAATTCGGTATCATGAAGTAAATGCAAAAAACAATTGAATTGGCAAAGAAGCAAATTTATAAATGGCAGTCACACACACATCTAAACAATGGTGTGTCAATCGAGAAAGTGAGGATTGAGCGGGAATAGTAGAGGGAGCTAGCTGCACCAGTATATATGGTGCAATACTATTGGTGGAGAGTAGTCACATGATATGTACATGCTCAGAAATGCCACAGAACTGATGGGGTATAAAGGCTAGTCTAAGGATTGCAGCAAAAATGTTTCTAGCAATGCTTAGAGGGCAGACAATGATCGATATAGCTTGGGTGTGATAGGAGGTGAGCTTTTAATGCACAAATAAAATTAAACCTTTAAAATATCTAATAACATGTGAAATTTACAGATAAATATATTTACATTAAAAACAGTTCTGGAAAAATGATGAAATCATTAATGAAGAAGCTGAACAACAGTAAAAATGTTTGAGGATTATAACACAGTAACATGATTTAAAAAGTTATAGTTTTTAGATCCAGTCATTCTACTGTAGTTATTATATAGAGTTGACAAGCTGTATGTATCAATTACAGAAGAATTAATACTTGAAAGAAAAACAACATGATATTCATACTCCTCCTTTGTCTCCTGATCCCATTCCACTATCAACTTCAAATGTTGTGGCCCTGTTAGAGTGGTGGCTTCCAAAGCTTCCAAAGCATGGTCAACAGTTGGCATGTACAATGGGTGGTCCACGTCACTGGGTAAGTAACATTTGCCAGAAAGTCCACCAATAACCCTCAAACGTAGCACAATTCCAATGTTCTAACAAAACAGATGATATTATTGGCCCCTGTAGCTATTCAGAACCACAATTCTGTTTATCTATAAAGTATCCGTTTATGAAAAATATTGTTCCCTACTTACTAAGTGAAAACCACCAAGAAAGAGAAATATGTACATCAGTTTAGCCAGGTACTAACGCTTATACTTAATAAATATACACCTGGAAAAAAGTTAAGCTCCCCCGTGTTTTTTTCAAGTGATTCAGATTCGACGTTCTTGTGACTGTTTAT